TATACAGTGCGAAACCCAAAAACGTATCTTGTCAACTTCCAGCACTGACGGCCGTGAATTGAACACCAAAACTCATATTTTCAACTCTAACTCTAAAAAAATTGAAATCAAACTAAAAGTTATTTGCATAAATCGATTCACGTCTTAGTTGGAGGATTCAAAACTTTCATTTTGGTCTTCTCTTAATAATTCCATGATGTTCAAAGCATATAAAAAAAATTAAATATCTAAAAAGAGCTACATGACATACAAAGCGTATGACCAACTTTTAGAGTAATATATGAACTCGTTTGGAAATGTTTTTAAATGATTGAAAGCGGTTTTAATAAAAAAAAATTTTGAATCAATCCTTAATAAAAATATAAGTGAATTCTATAAAAACACTTGAAGTGTTTCATGTAAAACGCATATAACCGGTGCTTCTTGCAGAAAGTACTTCAAGTCAAGTGCTTTTGGAACCCAAAATCATTTTCTCTAAAAGTGCTTTCGGTCTTTTTAAAAGTAATTCCAAATGAGTTCTATATCAACAAAGAGCTACATTCACACTAAAATATGTAAATAATTGGAACTTTGTTAATTGAGTTATGAGACAAAACTAAAGAGGAATTGAAGCTTAACACATTTTTAGCAAATTCAAAGGTTTATACTGATGGATTGCTTTGGTAGTTAAGATCTTCTTCTTTAATCAACTGCATCTCGAGTTCAAACTCTTCCTCCAACACAATGTGACAATTTGCAGAATGATCATATGCGACTGTCACACTAGCTGAATGACTTGCTAAGTTAATTACGAAAATGCCACCACTTGATTATACAAATTGTCAACTTTCTGTTTAATCAACAAGAAAAAAATTGTTTTCTTCATAAAAGAAAAATAAATTCCGGGCCATACATGCTTGTTTGTAATAGGAAGAAGTCGAAACATCATACATATACATGAAAATATCGAAGATTATTTTACATTAATTAATATCTTGTAAATACCACTACAACAACAACAATTAAACCTTACCTATTAATTGGGATCAGCCGTATGAATCATAAAACGCGACTGCGCTCGATTATGCGCCATATCTTCTGTTAGATTCAAGTACTAATCCATATCTTTTATTAAAATCTATTTTTAAGTCTTCCTAGATCTTTCTCAACTTATTTTACCATAAACCTCCGTCGTATCTTCTAAACAAAGTATATGTAGGTCTTTAATTCATGTGTCCAAACCACTTTAATCAATTTTCTCTCATCTAGTAAAGGCTACTACAAATTAATTTTATTGCTCCAAACCGAACCTACAAATTACATAAACAAACAGCAGAAATTAAACTAATTAATTATACTTAATATTGTGGGATGGCGCAAACTACAAAGTCACTTTTCGACGACGGGGGTCATGGTGGAGCGGCAGAGAGGGCAAGAGTTGCAGACGATGAGCCAGGAGGAGATACACGTGGCATGATATACATGGCCACATGGGACCTGTTTACCAATAATACTGTGATCCTGCTGATCACCACCTGATTGCATCCCTTCCATGCAAACGGCACAAACATCGTCGACTGCAGTAACAGGACTCGGCATGCAATCAACTATCAACGAGCTGCAGCCTGAATTTGATGTTGCAATGATACTGTTGTTATTGCAGTGGACAGAATTCGAATTCTCTTCAAAAGACAAAGTTAAAGCTTCATCTAGATCAAATTCATCGAGGTCGATATGGTAATTTGATATGGTGTTGAGCAGTTGACCTGAAAATACAGTTGCCATGGAAAGTTTTAGGGTTTGGTTTTTTTGGCCTTGGACTCGGATGAAAAAAGATATCTAAATTTAAAGAGGAGCAGGAGGAAGAAGATGTTATATCTATATATATTATATAGAAAGATCAGGAAGGCTTAATTTTTCAAAGAGTGCAAGTTGTTACAAACTTGATTGCTTGATTCAAGAAGTAATCTATTATTTGGAGGAAAGTGTATGAACTATGCCTGTCTAGCTAACAAATTCCCAATTGGGCTGCTTGTAAAATCATAGTTCAATTGTTTAATAGATGATCAAATTGGACTTGTGATAATCTATATTAATTATGCTGTTGTTGTCACGCCCAATTGGATTGAGCTGGTCAAATACATATTATATATACATAGATGTAGTACTGTACGTGCTTTAATTTGAAGACAATTTTGAATTGCCAAGTATTGTATTGGATATTACCTACAATATCCGAAAGTTACTAGGTGATAATGATACAAAATACTGTCATGTGGATATACAACATGTTATAATATGGATGAAGGATCATATTATGCGTTTTCTTTTAGGAAAATGAATGATACGATTATTACACTAAATTCGTCCAAACTACTGATTTAAACTTGGATACGGATGGTGCACTGCACTGTTCTAGACAACTTAAATAAACTTAGGTTTGCAAGAAAAAGATTATACTTTAGGATTTCACAATCCGATGAATCGACATGCTCAAAACATGAATGAATTAGTTATACAACTTAATTGTTTCAGTACTGCGCTACAGTATCTCATGGGCGAGAAGCGTATAGCTAGTTAATAATGCAGGTAGGGCATGAGACTTCGACTCGTCTACTAGCGAGGATGCGGATTGGGATACAAATTTGACTTTAAAATCTTCATGTCTACGTTAGCCACCGCAGATGTTGAGGTAGAAAGCATGAGCTTGATGTATAATAATGCAACTATGGGGGACCATAGTTTTCTGTACTTAATACATAATTTTACACTTGATAAGAATAAATTAAGAAAGCTTATAAGTTCTCACAAGTACAAATTGATAAATTTAATAGGAATAATTTTATTGGGTTTACTTATGATTTAAATGTTAAGTAATACAAGTCAAAACATGAAAAATATTACGTATAATGGTCCATAGCTTACCTCCTGATAGTAGTGCTACCTTCTTAAAACTATGATTTGTCTTTTGAAAAAGAATCTTGCAACTAGATTGATCAAAAGCATAGACATTTGTTTGGTTTGTTTGTGGTGATTCATATTTATTGTTTTGTAATAAAGAAAATAAATTTCAATACAGAGAATTATGTGTATTGGATAATAAATAGCATATTATATATATGGATCTGATCCGTGGCATTATATTTTTTACACAAATTTTGACATACATTTTTGTGGAGCTATTATTGACAATATCATTTAGGACATCACCCACAAGTCATCCTTGCAAAAAAAAAAATATTAGTACATCGATATTTTTACACTAAGAGAAGGGGGAGTTCAGTTAAGCCACATAATGAGCAGTCTAATTTGGTATCGAATTCGCCATCCACGAGATTCGAACCTAAGACCTCTCACTTCCAAGTGAAGAGGAATACCCATTTTCAGTGGTTCCGACTTGTATGTAGTGTAGTGCCGTATAGGTCACTAGAGGTGACTCCGGCTTATGTGCTAGCAATGATTGATGAGCTATGATTTAGTCATACATGTCACTAGAGGTGACTCCAACTTATATGCTAGCCATGATTGATGAGATACGTGATAAGATATGAATATGTCGTATAGGTCACTAGAGGTGACTCCGACTTATATGCTAGCCATGATTGATGAGATACATGATGAGATATGAATACGTCGTGTAGGTCACTAGAGGTGACTCCAACTTAGGTGCTAGCCTATATGTGATGAAATGCTAGCATATATATTTATGATGGGATATGTAATGAAATGCTAGCATATATAATGACTATATGTGATGAGCTAGTATATGTGGTGAATACGTGATGAGCTAGCAGACGTGATGAATATGCGATAAGTTTGCATATGATTATAAATATGTGAAGCATGACTTGAATTGATATATATATATATATATATATATATTTTATATTCGAATTCTGGAAATTTTACAGGTGTTGTAGTGAGGGGTTATAGAAATTTATATGGTTTCTATTAAAATTTTAATTACTGGGCCACTCACATTTATCTTGTCTTCACCATCTAGGTCTTCTTAGTTGAACTTTCTTATCGTTGAGGAATCGTGGTGATTCTTAGTATTGGAGATTATTTCGAGGGTACAATTCTTAATTCACTCTTTTGTACTTGCTTATGCTCTAACGTCACGTGTGAAATGAGTTCGTTCCCGCTCACCAGTGCACTATGGTATTTAGGCACTCTTAGGTTTAAATTTATTCACTATATTTCCACATCATCACACTTTATGGCTTCGTTACCTTCCAGGTGTAGGCCAGCATAACTCGATTCAAAGTCTTAGTAGACATTCCGGGTCGGGATGTGTCAGTTTACCTATATGACGTTCATATATATATATATATATATATATATATATATATATATTCATGCACAATGCTACATATATGATCAAACATATTAAACTAATTAATCTACCTATATTTAAATTTATGATGAGCAAATGACATATATTTTGTAGGTAAATTAATATTGAATCAAATAACATTTTTACACTTCCTTGTAGCCTTTAGATTTTATAACATTCAATGGTCTAGATTAAGAGTGATGTGGAGAGTTTTAAAACTAAATGACTTGGATGATGATGTGGATTCTAACTAATAAGGAAAACACTAATCTAAATTAAAAATTAATATCTAATAGGATAAAATTGAAAAAAACCAATAATCAATTGAGTTAGGATAAAATTGAAAACAATAATCTAAATTAAAAATTAATATAAGGGAAATTTTAATTGAACCCATACAACCTCTTTCTACACCCAACTTACTTTTACACCCATATTATTTTTAATTAAAGAATCAATCTCTCTTTAAACCCAAATTTACTATTTAAACTACCCTCACAAACTCAATTCAATATATAAAAATTCATCTTTATACCCATTTATAAAATAAAATCCCAAATAAGTGAATGAAGAATTAAGATTTTGTCATGACAACCAATTGTTATAGATGATCAACAACATCAATTTGTTTTTTAAACTTTTTTGACGTCGGTTTGGAGTGCAAGGTTTTTAGGAAATGATCTTCGCCAAGCTCTTAATAGAGTAGTCCAAGTAGCTAGCCTGAATGTGATTCGTGGAATTGAGTAATGAATTTGTAATTCAAGATTAAACAGTTCAGTAGCTGCTGGGTAAGCAGTTGAACTAGTGAAAGTAAATTTCAGTAGAACTTCTCATAACGTTTTCTTAAAGGATCATGGCAATAATTTTCATTTGAGCAATATATGCTGCTTTTACAGGCATACATAGTTGAATGAAGCAGAACTAAACAAATAGCGAGAAGATAACTCATACTTTAAACATGCACTCGTAATGACATGGAAAACATTTCGATGTGTTGAAAGCTTTCTGACTCTTTTGTTTCT